TGTTCATACTTCATAATGCTAAACCAATATATATATATATATATATATATATATATATATATCCAGTCAGGTTGGGTTAAACATAAACAGTTACAGACAGTTGATGCTTTGAACAATCTGAGCCAAGAGGACAACGATAAAGTATGGTTACAACTATGGTATACTATACTATAATGTCTTCGTGCCATGCATGATCTGTTGCACTTGTATGAAGATGATAATGTTTATTTTTACACAATGAATTTATAAATTTTGTAGGTCATGGGTAGGGTTAGGGTTTCACAATTCAAACCCAACCCAACTTGTAATGGGTAGACTCCCCGCCATTGATAGAGATCCCATTCTGGGCCTACTATTTATCAGAGGGTTCCTCTTCCTCAGTGTGAAGAACAGTGTTCAATTGCTTGTTGGCTTAGAAGAAAATTTGATATTTAGCTGTTCAATATCTTGAGCTAGTGAATAATAAGTTCAAATATGGACTACTCAGTTATAGGTAATAAAAGCCCACTTGTACACATTTAAGTTTTTATTTTCCAGACTCAACGTCAAGGAGCCGGAGCTGTTTCAAAGAATTACACTAAGCTGATGAAAATATAATCTAGCAAAAACACTAGAGGAAAAACAAAAAAAAAAAAACAAAAGAGGAACAAGAAAAGAGAAAAAGAACAAAAAGGCAATGAAAAATTCCCGTGTCGATGACAAAATAGACTACAACATGCAATCTGTGAAAACAACCACAAACTTGACCACCTCAGAGAGCCATGGAAGCTTTAACGAGTAAGCATTAAGATAAGCCACCGACACTTTCAGACCAAGTAAGCAAGCTGTGGAATTGCTAATGTAAAAGCTAATCCATAAAGACTGCTCCAATTCTATACTATAAAATACAACATGGTGATTTGGCACTCACTGGTAGGTCGTGACATTGGAGGGCCTCTGGGATGTCCTTGATTACCCCTCCCTCTTCCCCTTCCCACAGCAGTTTGGGGAGGTGGAGCAAGTCTAGG